CCCCAAAACCCCAAAACCCCATTTAACTGCATTTAACTTATTTAAAGAATAAATAAAATAAAACTTCAGTTTTTGAATATAAAATTAAATTTGAATTGTATTTTAAATGGAGCTTGATCAAGATTATTTCAGAAAACAAGAAAATGAGGATTCATCAATAAATAGTGATCTCTAGGACTATGATGACTTTATGGAGCAAGATTCTCCTCGAAACAATCTAATAATAGAAGAAAGTGAGAAGCTTAAGGATTAGTTCTAGTATCCTATATTTGAGGCAATTCTTGTTGAGCAAACTCTGGATTTAAATTAATTTGAAAACTACGAAGATTAACAACAGGAAAAATAAGACTACTTGACTTAATCTGAATAAAAGTATATATTTGAAGAAGAAGAGAAAATATTAGATTGCTAAGGAAAAGAAGATTTTACTGATGCTAATGTGGATAAATTACACCAATAAGCAATCAAAGATCTGGAAGCATAGATTGACTACATGCTAGGAAATAAGGATAATCTCAAATTTCTATAGTAAAATCAGTAAACTGCAAAATTATAAAAGGATTATGATGGCTTTACTTTTAGATCGCAGACTTAGGATAAATAAGTTCTCAATTAAAGTTTTAGGAGCACTTATTCCACAAAAACAGAATCCCTAGAAAGTATATTAATGGAGGTAAATAAACTAGTAGAAGGATTAGATCAACTTGATTTGTCAGCTGCAGATTAGATCATTAAAGAAAAATAGCTTTTAAATGAATCTAGAATGTCTCATAAGCAAAATAATACAGCAAAGGGACATTATAAGTAAATATAGGATAGAGATTTAATTAAAATCTACTAGTAAAAGAGGAATCTACCTCCAAGGGGAAATAGTAATAAGAAAAAGAATTCTAAAGAAAAATCTATGAATTTAGAAAATTCAAGAGACTTGATAAGAAATGCTGAGTTAAAATAATTCTCTGAATCAAAAGAAAACTAATATTCCAACAGCAATCAGTCATAATAAGATTTTTAGCCGCCTTAGCCCATTTACTCAAATCTTTCTAGACAATCAAGTGCCTCTTCACTTTATCAAAAATTAAATACTAATGAAGAATCAGCAACTGGACCCGTATTTTCACGCTCATTATATGCTTAGTAGTACTCTGGAATGCAAAATAGCTTTTAATATTAAGCTAATAGCTCAATGCAATAGTATTTTAACCAGCAACCAAATTTATATAATCCTGCTTTAATTCAGTAGAATTAACAATATCAATAATTTAACCCTATCTAAATCTAGCAACCTTAAACAATAAATCTTACCTATAAATAAATCTTATAGCAATAAAATGAGCAGATGCTAAATTAACTAAAGACTAATCATAGTAACTTATTAAACCCAGTTAATATCCAAAGCAACTAATACTAGCAATAAATTAATAATCAGATGTCGAAGGATATCTCAGAATATAATGATGATCTTGAAAGTTATGAAACCTCAAGCTAAATCAACTTCAAGCCATAATAATAGATCTTAAACGTAAATAGCCCAGCTATGCCATACTAATAAAGTCAATAATAGCTGCTTGGAAACTATATCGGATTAAGTTATAAGCAATTTATAACTCAGCCTTAAACAAAATACAGATATTGATTAAATTTGCTTTATTTTAATTGTCATTTTTGCTTTTGAGCATTGCTTATTATTTAAATTATAACGGGGTTTTGGGGTTTTGGGGTTTTGGGG